GCTGTCATCGTGGCCAGCGGCTTCAGTAGCGTTGGGGTCAGCGTGGCTTTGCTGCTGGGACAGACGGTGTTTGTTGGTCGCGTTTCTGTCAGGCACTTGCAGCAACTCCTCTTTTTCATGACCCAGGCTAGTACATACACAGCCTCCTGTTTGTGCTTTAGCTCGGGTGGTGGAAGGCCAGATTCAGGGGATAATCATCGACATGTGCTCAAATGAGTGGGACATCCAAAAGCCTGAGCTGCCGGAGTTGCCTTTTCAGAAGTCTGAAATGCCCTGTACAGTGCCCCACAATGTTCCAAAATGAAGAAGATGAATGATAGGTACCAAATTAACCTGCCATAAATCGTGTTGAGGAATATCAGTCAGTCCAGCAGTGTTAATACACTGTTGTTTAATGTGGTGAAGCTGTAAGATAAATTGATACAAGAAAAAATAAAATGAGGAACACAAACAACTTTATAATTGCCCTTCCAAAAAGAGCAAGCTTTTTTTGAAGTTTGCCAGCAACCTGCATGCTGAGAGATGATGGCCTCCATTTCACGACGATAGACTGCCATTTCATTTGATACCAGATTGGCCTGATCTGTCTTTTATCACGCTGCTTCCTGAGTGCGTGTGCTGGTTGAACCCGGTGTAGAGTCAGAGCTATCTCCTGGGGCAGCAGTGATCTCATCCAGCTTTCGACAGTCAGATGTACTCCTTTAGATGTGAAATTGTCATCTATACTCTATTTATAATATGTTGACGGAAGTCGTGCCCTTTTAAGGCTCACTCTAACCTATCTATTGAAGTATCTTTTTTTTCTGCCTGGTTACTCAGAAACTTCCAGAAACTACTGCTGAGATTTGTGCTGGTTACAGCAAAAGTTTGTGCTTCACTACTGAATACTCCAGGAGAAAGTGTGAAACCCATCAAATGCTATGATTTGCGAAAAGTGAAAGTGGCAGTAGATTTGTCCTCAGTCTAGTTAAGATTTTGGGGCAGGCTTCTTTTTTCAATATAATGCTGTTCTTTTACTCTGCTGCAAAGTGTATTTCTGTGTGTCAGTAGTCAGTGGAAGAAACAGCACCAAAACGTTATGGTTTAGGAGAAATCCTGCCTACTATTATGTAAAATCGATCTGGCTTCCTGGTATCTGAATGAGTAAGGAGAATCTGTGCTGCCTGGCAGGCAGCTGCCCCCACCTCCTTCCTGCTCTGTTCAGAAGAGAGAGCTAGCAACATCTTCCAGGAGCTTACCTGTGTGCAGAACCACTTGCAGGAAAAAAAATGAGCAGCAGCAGGAGCCTCCAGACCTGAAAACAGGTGTGGCAGTTTGATTTTAGTGTGTCTTCTTACTTCTCTGGAGTCTTGGATAATGGCAAAAGGTGTAGTATTTTTTCGGTCTCAAACTGATCAGGGTTGAGAATCAGTTGTGTGGGTCTATGTTATTTCCTTAAGCATCTGTATAATAGTGTTTATGCTTTTGTTTGCAAGACTGTTGGGCAGATTTCACAATGTTAAGGCATGAGGACCTGTCCAGAAAGTTGCTGAGATAATCTTGCCTGACCTTTGTCTCAGGATGATGTCAGAAGACCTTGTTGAGTCAAAGGGAGAAGAAATACAGTTTCTAGATAGCTAGGTTTTGAATTTATAGTCTATCAAAATTGCCTGGCATATGTTACAGTAGGTTTGGGGTCAGAGAGTTGTTTTTATTGAATCTGCAGAATTTGAGTTTCATCCATTTCAGCTGAGAACAAGTATTCTCATGGTGGAGACTACCCAAGGATTGGTATATTCCTGTTGCTGCTGTAACATCCCTGCTTTAACCACTCCAGCATCTCAACTTTTACTCATTTGGATTGCTTAGAGGTTGCTGTGTGAGGTGGAGATCTTTCTGTTGAACTGTGCATTGTCAGTGTCTCTATACTTTTTGGTTTTTTTAAAACCAACAAAAGCAGAATGGCTTGGCATTAAAACTCACCTACTTACCTGCTACACATCAACTTGCAAAGAGAAGATGCCTAGACAGAATTTTATATATGACTTCTGAAATGTCCCCAAAATGAATGTATAAAATTATGCTTTGTAGAAATGTGAGTTTATACACCAACATCTTTCTGCAGCACGAGGTTTAGTTGGACTAGACATAAAGCCCCTGAGTTGTTAGAAAAGTGTTTATCTTGAAAGTGAATGTGGGAGTGGGCAAGTTGACCTTTGTCGCTTGCAGGGATTTCAATGATTAGTGCCACTCATTAGTGTATGGTTCTACCAGCCTTCGTCTACAGGGAACAGTAATTTGGTACGTGCCTGAGCTGGAGACTACAGATTCCTAACGTTAAGGGTTTGTGGGCATTACCCACTGTGTTGATTTTTGCAGAATCTGGCAAAATCTTGTCCTGTTCGTTTTCAGCAAATACTGGAGCTATCCCTATCACTTACCCTGCATCTATCTATGAGTTTAGCATGAGCACGGATCTTCAGCTCCTGTGTCACTTCTGGAAGCCAAATTCCAGCTGTAAAGCTGGAAGAACTGGCCTGATGTTGCCCTTTTGAAAGTTTGCTTCTCCAAACTGCCTCCAACTACTCGTGACTTCTTAGAGCAACGAAACCGTGAGAGGCCCTGGAAGCGCTCGGCGTGCTGAGCTGTAGCATTTCAGAGGAAGCACGTTGGCCTTCAGATGTGCCCTGGGCAGCCACAAGCAGTTACGTTTTTAGCTGTGTCTGCACCTGACTGTACACAGAGGAAAACATAGAGTTGTCTGACAAAAGTGTTGTCGATGCTGTTTCCCTGTCCTTTTCCAGTATTTGGTGCTTTGGTACATTGTTGTGAGTTGGGCATTTCCCTGGTTCGGTTCTGTTTCATCACAAAAAATGAACACAGATGAAAAACTAACAGAGAGATCCTTCCCCCTCAGCCCCAACTCTGGATCATGGTGGGAGCAAACATCAGCACCGAGTCTCTCTGCTCAAGATTTGTAGGCCCAACATTGCAACTAATCCTGTGGAACAAAGAGCTTTACCTCTGCTCATGTGCAGGACCTTCCACGCTACAGCTGGCTGCTGCCTTTCTCCTCCCTTCCTGTCTGTGCTGACACCTGCACATGTACCAGGGGGTCCCTGCAGACTTCTAACCCTCGTCCTTCCACTCCTTGGAGAAGGACAGACACCCCCCTGTTTTGCTTTGGGCTGCTTGTACTCTGCAGTCTGTGGTCTGGAACCAGAGTCTCCAGTTGCTGTTGCTCCGACAGCAGGGGTAAAAGGGTGGGCTGCTTTTGCCTGTGCTTTAACCTAGGATGTCCTTCCCACCTCCCTGGCTGAAGTCTCCTGCTGTCCCTGCAGTGATACACATGGCTTTGAATCCAAAACCACAGTCTGAGGATAGAGAACAGTGTGGGAATAGTTTAATTTTATTTTTTTCTTTTTCTTGCCCATACCATTGACTGCCCTGTGTTCCGATGTAGCATATGCTTATGCAGTACCCCATGTTAAGATGTATTTGTGTTCTGGAGCAACTGCTTGTGATCCAGATTAAGAAACTTATCAATGTTTGGGGCTTTTTTGAGGAGGAAAAAAAAAGTTGTATCTTTTAAGTTGGATGAGGTCCTTGACATCTTTCAAGGTATGCAGTCCAAGCTGATCTGAACTAGGACTAATACAGTCCTGTCTCCCTTCCACCTCTGGCTCCTGCCCCTCCCTTTCATCTGACCCTACTGGAGCCCATTCTGCTGGTTGAGACAGCAAAAAACATGTGCAGCTGGGGGAGGGGGTAATGTCAGTTTTCTGTTGGCTTGGCTTCCTCAATCAGATCATTGTTAAAAGCTCTGATGTAGACCAGTTTCTGCAGGATTGGGTCCTTCCTGGGGAAGCTCAGTTTAGCTGTGTCCTATCCTCCTTTTTTTGTTTGTTCATTATCCTTAAGATCCTTAATTAAACAGTCTAACATATCTTGCAGTGCTGCCCTCAATCTTGGTATTGCAGGGGTAGGATGCAATGAGTAGTTTGTCATTTGTATTTGCAGACTTACACCATTCTGAGATCTTCACTCAGGTTTTGTAACTACTGAGAGGATGCCCTATTTCTGTGATCCTTAGTGCAGGCTATTTGCTTGCCTGTAGCAGAATATTGTTGTGAGTGATCAGAACTAAACTCTGCGTGGCAAAGGCAGAATCCACAATCGATTGCCTTGCGTGCATGTGAATGCCAGACTTCCCATTCTGTGTGGTTTATCTTTACATTTTACCACTTGTTTGTAGACCAAGCCTGAGGACAGTGTAATCAGGCCTCAATTAGTCTTCAGGGTGTGATGATACTTCACCAGAGGTAGGATCCTTCTCTATCCCACTCCCCACCTGCCACATGCTCAGTGGATGCATTAACATGCTATTAGTCCCAAACTAAGCAATGCAACTTCGTAGTGGATCTTATTGTCTTATCATGCTGTCCATGTAGGGGAACAGCAAGTCCTCATCTGCCTACAAAGGCCTTGCAGACTTCAGAGGAAAAGATTTATGTGAGAAGTTCTTTTCCTTCTGCTGTACATTATGCAGGTCGTATGTTATTACTGAAGGGAGGTGCCTGATTTTCTGCCTCTTACTTCTTTCAGTCTCCTTTCATCTTAAGGAAGAAGAGAACTTGGGATGGTGCTGATGGGGAAGATAAAACTGAGGATGGGATGGAGTTCCAGTTCGTTTGATGGTTGGGTAGTGCAAATGTGGTCTTTTTTAATGTGCTAAGAGCAGGCTGTTGTGGTACCATGCTTTTGTATCGTCATTATGCCTAACTCCTGTCCATGGTAGTTTAGTTGTTTATATGCCCAAAGCAAATGACAGATGTTGTACTAACTTTTTTTTTTTCTTTGTAATAATAAAGCACCTAAAACTATCTTATTCTTCTTGGGTTTTATGTAGGGAGTGAAGACACAAACACCACCAGCAGTACTACACCCTTTACTACGATTCCAGGCCATAAGTTGCAAGGTAATATTCTTGGCATTTCTGTTGCTGTTCCTCTATAGCATCGAGAAAAGCAGTGTGTGTTATTGTATGCCTTAGTGTCCTGTAATAGTTTGCCCTTTATTTTATTTTATTGAATTGTGAACAGCTGTAGGGCAGGAGGGAGGTACTCTGATTGTCACATCTGTTCTAGGACAACTAAAGATAATATAAGAGGAACTAATGAACAGTAGAACACAACTCAGTCCTCATATTCTTAGGTACCCAAGAGCAATAGAGAGAGGAGAAACAACATAGGAAAATTTTATGTGTAGAACTAGAAATACTTGCCAAGATCAATTTACAGTTACAAAGAGAACCACCAGCTCAAGAGGCCTGCCAGGCTAGACTTCAGTGCTCTTGAGAAAAAGGCAAGGCACTTTCTGATATGATTTTTAATGTCAAAATGGATTCTAGGTCCATCATGCTTGAGCTCATTGCTACAGTACATGTTTATTTCATAGGGTAATCTCATTTTGACTGCATTAAGCTGTACATCTTTAAGGATGTGCCATGCAAAAGTCATTGAGTCATTTTTACCCTGTACTGCTTCACTCATCGCAGTTGCTGTTGGCCAACAAGTGGGATGTGTAGCAAATACTCTGCTCATTGACTCACTCTCTCTTGTGTTAATTGCATCGCTGACTCACACCCAAATTCCAGGCAGTGTACATGGCTTTTTTTCACGTGTAGGAGCATGCAGTCCACATCCCGATGTGTTCTTAGGGCTGCAGAAGTAAGCACTCAGAACTTGGGGGAAACCCAAAGCTGTGTTCTGCTTACAGTATTGGGCCAGTGTGGGAACAGTTTGGCCCCAGGAATATCCGTAGCTTACGCTAGTATAAAAGTACGCAAGAAAGAATGTGTTTGTAATTGTACGATCTTAGACTTTTTCTCAAAGGCAATTAAATCTCCAACTTAATATCCCAGGTATGTCAGTATAAAGGTTGTGTGTGCAATACTCAGTGGTGGTCCTAGCTGGCTATGATTACACCAAAGAAAAGGCAGTCATTCATTCCCTCTGTAATTTTTTTTCCTCCTTTTTGGTAGGTGGTATGAAGGTGTAAATTCGTTGCATTTTCCCTCCCTGGAAGTGTTTAAGACCAGGCTGGATGAGGCTTTGAGCAACCTGATCTAGTGGAAGGTGTCCCTGCTGATGGCAGGGGGATTGGAACTAGATGATCTTTAAGGTCCCTTCCAATCCAAACCACTCTATGATTCTATGATTTTTTCTTGAATCTGAGCTTGCTCATAACATGTATGCAATTGCAAAGAGGGTTGACAAAACTGTTTTGGACTAGACTTTTGCAGTGGTAAGAACAGCTGATCCGTTCAAAGGAAATACACCTGCTTCTTGATTCTGGTAGTCGTGTTGCTGTTTTTGTCAGCTCTGAGGTCAGGCACTGTGTTTTCCAGCCATGCTGAAAGGCGCTAGAGCTGCTGCAGGGCACGTAGCACTAGCAGTCTAGGAGGATGCTGCAAAAGATGAATTCTTTGAGATAAAAGACTAATCACAGAATGGGCATGAACTACAGTGCAGAACAAAGGGAGGGCAGTATGGGCAGTGACGTTTCCAGAAATGGGAGTTACCGAACAGCCCAGTAGATCTTTGCCAGCAGGAAGACACCGTTAACCTGTAAGAAACATTGAAAGGGATACAGCAATGAGGACAGAACTGAGAGTGGCAAGGTGCCCAAGAACCTAGAAGTAACATGAGTAGGAAGGGTGGAAAAAAGAGAACTGGAAACGTAGAAGTGAAAGAAAGGAGGGAAGGACAAAACCAGTAAGACTGAAACACAGTTTATATTTTAAGTCTTTGGAAACAAGTCCATTCTTAGGACTCTTTTTGTGTAGAGAGAGCGTAAGCCCACAGAAAGATGTTTCACAGTGTATTGGCCTGAACATGACTATAGTATGTTCTTAGCATGAGCCCAGTTTGTAACAGAGGTGCAGCAAAATGAAAGAAAAGGTTGAGGGAGAAGAAATGGAACTGAAATAGAGGAATAAAAACTAGGAAAAAAAAACCCTGCAGTGCTTAAGTAGGTTAAGAAAGTCACTGACAGTATGGAAGATACAGCATCTGGAGTAGAGCATGACATAGGAGTGGAAGAGAGCAAAAAGAGGGGTTGTAAATAATTCAGATGCAGACCATTTGGGCACTGCTCTGCATACAGTGTAATTATGTTCTTGCTGCACTGATATCTGGAAGCATGTTGCAGAGGGATAAAACCATCTGCTTTGGGATGGAGTATTCTCTGTTCCCACTTGTAACTTGCAAACATAGATACCCTAAGAAGAGTACTGTGTTGTTGGTACTTTAATTACAGCATGTTAAAATGAAAACTAATAATATTTATTTTCTTGTTTTCTTTTTTTATTGAAGACAATGGCAATTCATCCAATCTTACTCTTATATCATCCACACAATCTACAGCAACATCTGCAGTAGGTACGTATCTGTTTATTTGTCCATTACTATGAACCTAGAAGCTAGCTCCAAACCTACCCCTGATCATACCAAATTCTAAAGAAATATCCATCAAAAGTGGTTATTTAAGAGAGACATTATCATTTTAGGGCTGGGAGGCAACATGTAAAACAACTCTGAAATGAAGCTATACTGTTTTTCAAGTTTAGGTGGCATGCTTCATCAGTAGAAGTAATGATGTTTCAAGTGACATTGAAAAACAGGAATCAAACTAGAACTTCAAGGAAGAATTGAAAGAAGTTGGTCTTTTTAATGTTCATTCTTTGTCTCTAAGCAAACTTCTTCCATTTCATAGAGTAAAGATGAACAGATTGTTGTGCAAACAGCAAATCTGTTTAATGTTATTTCACAGTAAATAGATTTAGGGTATAATGAAGTCCTGGGGACCTGAGTTTTAGCAGTAAGACTCATGGCACCTTATACCATAGAAAATAGTCCTTATGGAGTTCATAGCCCAAAACAGTGGAGTTCAAGTGAGACACGAGTGGCAAATCTGGGACAGTCTGTCACGGGTACTTTTGCATTGTTCTAGCACTACCATCTTTCCTTCACAACTTGGCAAAAGAACTGTAGGTAATAATGATTTCCCAAGGCAGCAGTGTTAAACTTATGATGCTCCAACATAAGTAATGTATTTACAAAACACGTAGAAAGAAGAAATATGTTTATTAGATCAACTAGTAGAGTTTGAAAGCAGATATTTAACCTGGGACACAAACAGTTCATCCACTTGTATTTGCAGTGTTCTAACTGTTGGCTATATCAGTGTGAGGTTATTAAAAAAGGAAATTAAAAAAAAAAAGATTTTTCTGGAAGAATGTGCACAGGCATATTTCACCACGTCAGTAAAGACTGGATAAGAATTAACATCATGCAGTTGTTCAGTCTGTGGTGCATAGATAAAAAAGGTTGTATCTGAGGGAAGAGAAAAAAAGCCAGCTCCGTGCATGAACTGGGTCCCCCTTGTGCTAAAAGAGCCATGTGAAAGCAAGGCAGAAATGTTGTGCCTACCCTGAGAGACTTGGGGTATTTGTGGAGTTTCATGCTAATCATAAGGTCCCAACTATGTTATTCCATTTCCAGTGCAGCTCTCACTTTGTAGTCTCCAGATAACCTCTGAGCTACCACACTCAGAAGCTGCTTATTATTCATTTAAGAATAAAATACTCAGCAGGGGAAAAAAAAAAAAAAATCTGCAAAGACTTTTTGATAGCAAGGAAGTGGTGCAGTTTCTCATTCCACTGCTTGCAGTGTACCAGTTTAAGCATGTCTGACTTGGAAAGTGGAGAGGTTTTTGTAATCTCCTTGTTGCCTTAGGGCCTTCCCATCTGTAAAGCCATTGTTAACCACAGGTGTTTCACCCACCTCATGCTCCAACCCTTCCACCCTCTGCTCAGCCCTCTGCTGAGGCCTGAGCCCTTTATTGTTAAGCACAGGACAAAGCTAACAAACAGCTGTGCCTTGCTGTATGTGGTTCATGATTCACATCCTTCACTCTGGTTTTTTTTGTTGTTGTTGTTAGAAATTTCATAGATTTTATGACAATGTGCAGCCATTTTGATTGTCTGTCCTGACCTCTTTAAAATAAAGACTGCTGGATATACGTACTTAATTTTGCTTAAAGTCTCTGCCTTTTTTTTTTTAAGCTTTTTATGGCAGAAGCAAAAGTTTGGTTCATTCAGTCATTTTCCATGCAAAAGAGAGTATTTATTTATTAGAGGAAGAGCATAATAATAATATTTTTGTATGTTAGCATGGAGCTTAAGCAGTTTGAGTTGTGTTTTTTCTTGTTGAGTTAGAACATAAAGGGAGTAGTGCCTGCTGCTAAGAATTCTTAGCTTTACACTCTATATATACCTTGATTGATGGATATAGCATAGCTATTTAATGTTTAAACACAGGTAGCATACAAAGTAAAATACTTGTCTCTTTTAAAAATAAAGCATCATAAACCTGAACTATATTGCGAGCATGCATCCTTTTTAAATAATAAAAATTAACTCAGGCAGTCTGGGTTTGTTTAGCATGATGTTCAATGAAGCCCAGCTGGTCTTCTGGGGGAAAAGTAATCAGGGAAATGAAAGATAAAAGGACAGATGTTGCTAGAAAATGTTCTTTCATCTTAACTCTGGGAGTAAAATAGTATGGGTAAGATTTTTCAAAGACGTGGAAGAACAGATTGGTGCCTAGTTCATGTCAGCTTCCCAAATTCTCCAGCTGCCTCAGATAGCCTCCCACTGATGTTTTGAAATGACTGATACTAAATACATCATGAAAGATAAGTCTGTAGGAGATTAACCAGATTTTACTCCAAATAAAAATTTTACATCACCAAGTAATCTTGATAAAGTAAGAAAAAATTAGAGAAGAGGGAGGGGAAAAACATAATGTGCAAGTTTGCTGGAATTCCTCATGAAGCTGCTTGGATTTTTTTTGTGCTGACTCAGGCTTTCTGTAGGGTAATTTAATGTCCATGGAATAAGTACCATCTTTGTGTAGCATTGTATAATAATGTTATATGTGGAACAATTAGTCATTATATTGCTGAGAAGCACAAGCCAGTTTGACTCTCAGAAATCATGACTCAGAAAAACCCAAAAACCCTAGAAAAGTGACTGGTCGACACTTGCATTCAGGTTTGTCTTTCTTTTCTCTTGGTATCTTTTATATTAGGAATGCAGTTACCAGGTGTGGTTTCATGTCATGTAATTGTAGATGGTTTCCATAATAGACATTTCCTTGCTTATTTCCTACAATGGGGAACCATTTGATATTTATAGATCATTGTGCCTTTGGGGAGTTTACCTGTCAGTATTAAAATGTACCCTGAATTTCATCTGATGTATTTTACACATGCTTCATAGAGGAACTGAATTTCCTAATTGTAACAAGGTAAGCACATGAGTATAGTACTCCAACTGTTCTATCTTAATTAATGCTCATTTCAGTGTTTCCTAGGGTTATGGCAAAATACAAGGATAACATAAAAGAACAGGAAAATTAGTAACATTTACTGTGGGGACTGTATTGGGCTCCTTCATCAGTTTTAATCTTAAATGTCTCAGAAGAGTGTCATGTAGGCTATTTGCTTTCTGAATGCTTACATTATCATATTGGTTTGTTGGGGGTTTTTTTGATGCTGTACTGGAAGCAGTGACACTTAAGTGTTAGCAAAGACATCATTCTGTGTGTGGCTACTTGTGTTTTAAACCACACTTACAGGAAGATCATTCTATAGAAGCATTTTAGATGCTGTACAAAAAAACCCCAGAAATTGAATATCAAATTTACTGTGGAATTGAGATGAAACTACCTATTCTTCAGACAATTTCAAGAAAAAATTAGTATAATTAGACATTTTAATGTCCATAGAGAAAAGCTTTTATGGTGTTTAAAATTAACCCAGCTTGTGTGAGGTTATAGGAACAATACAGAAGTAGACAGCTGCAAAGGGAGCTTTTTCTCCCTATAATTCCTACATACGCAAAAGTATTTGTCTTCTATTGTCTGCTTAGAGAAATGTTAGTTGCATAACGGGCTCGTGTTTCTTCTTAGTTCCTTCTTAGAAAAACAAGTAATTGCTCTTAAGATTATTCTTGCTGGCTGCCTTCTACAAAGGTTCTAAGGATTTTGCTATAAGTATCAATCTCTCTTCTTGAATTTTGCTTCATGGTATTTTTATTCTGAACAGTTCATTATTGCTTTCTGAGGAGGGACGGGGGAGTGTAACAAAGGTAAAAGTCAAAGATAAAAGTAGAGTAAAAGTCAGATGTTAGATGTCAATTAAACTTGTGAAACAGCATTCCAATCTTTGTTTTCACCTTGGCAAGACAGCTACTAAATAAATTATACAAGCTAGCAGATTTACTTTAGTCGCACTTTTATCACACGTGGAAAACTTTTTGAACCTTAAGTTTAACATACATACAGAATTATCTCTGTTAAGCTTAATACACATGCAGCCTTCGTAAAGCCAATGTTTCTTTCAAAAGTAAATTAAAGATTAAATCATTACTAAAATTGAGGCGGGGGAGCGGGTGTGTATTATCATGCAAAATCTGTTCTTATCAGAAAAACTTAGTTATCAGAAAAGTTGGGCACTTCAAATGGAAAGTTACTCTTGACCTAGAATTTAATCATATTTTAAAATCCTGTAAGTTATGTTTGATTCAGTGGAATTAGATAGTGTTACAAAAAAAAAAAATGACCCTTCTGAAAGTTATCAGATATTATCCAGGTTTTTTTTACAGCCTTTCTTTAAAACTATTCCTGATCTTGAGCCCCAGAAATCAGAAGTTAGGTCTTTCCAAAGGAAACACATAGGGGAAGAGTCTGTATGGAAGCCTCGATATCAGTGTAGTGGCATTTTCACTGTTACTCTCTCATTCTCTTTGGGCATGATGACAAATGCAATCTTATTCAATGAGTATACAGTTTATTAATTTTATGTATTTTCTGTGTGATATCACAAATAAAAATTTCCCAGGTATGTCCACCAGTACTACTCATCTGACCAGTACCAGTCAACCTACCAACACCACTAAGTCTGTCATCCTGACGACTCAGCCCACCAAAACCAACCAGACAGAAATATCCACCACAGCTTCATCAGTCACATCATCACAATTCAATATTACGGTGGTGACCACTTCCAAGACTTCTTTCACTCCTGTAACAGGTGAGTTCACACTTCAGGAAGCTCATGAAGGCTTGTATACATGTAGTATAACAAAGAAGGTACTTGCATTCTGAAAAACGAGAGTAAGGTGGTTTTTTTCTTTATTAAGTTGGCTATAATAATGTTGCTCTGAGCATTCCACTTATTATTAATAAGGCTTCACTTAACCTGAGAGACCTGACATTGTTTAGGAAAAAAAAAAGTAAAAAATGCAAGTGGTCTGAACCAGCAGCCACCAGCAAGGAGATTAGCAGTGTTAGGAGAAAGCCTGGCTTTCTCCTAACACAACTTCTGTATTTGTTCAGCTCTCCCTTCTACAGCTTGCTTGAACTCATCTCTAATACTTCCTTTTTCACAGCTGACCTGTGGCTCAAAATATGTCTATTGGCTTAGCAGAAAGGCTGAGTTCTGTTAAAACACGTTTGTAGCAATGTAATGAATTTTATCCCTAATGGAGGATGGGGTATTACTATGGATGAGTCACACTTCCTGTAAAAGCTGTCAAATACAGTTTGACAGTCCCCTTTAATATAAAACAGTAAGTGTAGAATTCAGTATTTCCTTGTGGTTAGCTGCTTGTTCGCACCACTTCATGCTTACACTTCAACACAGATCAGGTTGCTCAGATGTCAGTGAAGTGTTATTGGGCAGGTGGAGATGTCATCATCAGAACTTTTAGTTGGCCATGTAACACTCCCTGTGGCAAGTACAAATAGAGATGAGCACAGAGTGGATTGTTTCATGGGAGTTTGTAGTAGATGAAACCAGTTTTTGCACAGAAACTGCTATAGCTTATCTGAGGTCGTGTTATCTGTGTCAATATTTGTGTTGAGCTGCAGAGCTGATCTCACTTGGAGAGGGAGGGTGCAATTCTGTGAGACCTCTCTGCAGGCTGACTCAGTATGCTCATCTCACTAAAAGCAACTTCCTTTCCTGCTTGGATTAATTTCAGGCCAGCCAGTGAGTTAAATTGTCTCATGGTGAGTATGAAAAACAGTAGAACTGGCCTAAGAAGGGCAGGAGCCACATGTGTGGAAGGAGGAGAGAGCAGGGGGAAAAAGCACGGGAAAGAGGGAGGCGGAGAGAAGGGGAAATCGGTCTTTCTCAGCTCCTCCTGCATTACCAGAATCTGGCACTTAAAAACAGAGCTCCAGGTTTCAGTGTGCTTGGCTGGCATCTTGCAGGTTGATCTGTGTTAAATTTGTCTAGTTGGGTCTTAGATGATAGGTCAGTGGGAAGGGCAGGATATAGAAGAATCCCTCAAAACACACCTTTGCAAGCTTTATAAAAAATGCCTTTTGGTTTTTTTTCTTTTCAGCCACATCAAAATCTCAGGCTGTCGTAGCCAAAACCTCCAGATTTGATGTGGGCAGTTTTGTAGGTGGCATTGTGCTGACACTTGGAGTCCTAGCTATTCTCTACATTGGATGCAAAACCTATCATGCTAGAAGAGGCATTCAGTACAGAACCATGTAAGTTCCCAAGGGATTGTCCCTTGTCAATTTATTACTTTCTTGAGGGGAACAAGGACAAACAAAACAAGGAGAATTAACTCTACTACATATGTTTGTTTAATGTACATTATATTAATATCATTAAGAGATTTAACTGTGATATTTTGTCTTTCACCACTTCAGCTGTTCTTCATTGTTATTACGCCTCTCTTCTGAGTGGGTTTTTCTCTGATCATAGAATCACAGAATGATTTGGGTTGGAAGGGACCTTAAAGATTTTCCCGTTCCACCCCCCCTGCCAGGAGCAGGGACACCTTCCACTAGACCAGGTTGCTCAAAGCCTCATCCAACCTGACCTTAAACACTTGCAGGGAGGGGGCATCCACAGCTTCTCTGGGCAACTTGTTCCAGTGTCTGACCACCCTCACAGGAAAGAATTTCTTCCTAATGTCTAATCTAAATTTACCCTCTTCTAGTTTACAGCCATTACCCCTTGTTCTATCATTAACTGCCCTTGTAAAAAGTCCCTCCCCAGCTTTCATGTAGACCCCTTCAGGTATTGGAAGGCCGCTATAAGGTCTCCCTGGAGCCTTCTCTTCTCCAGGCTGAACAGTCCCAACTTTCTCAGCCTGTCCTCATAGGAGAGGTGCTCCAGCCCTCGGATCATCCTCGTGATAAAGAAGTCTGTGCTGTGGATGTGAAAGGCTGGATGACCTGAAGTCACTTGTTTACTCTGTATATGTACACCAGTGACTTTAAACCTTCTTTGAGCTGCAGGCTGGTGATATTTTCCCTGTGGAGTGTAGGTGCTGTACAGCAAATACAAGCTTATTGAGAGTAAACTTGCTTTTCTTAGTTATTTTTTCAAGACCCTTTAGAATTTGTCTGTGGGCTTCAGACAGTCTGCAGACTACAAGTTGAAAAACACTGATTTAAACCGATTTTCTGCCACCAACTTCTTCCAGGCAACTGGTGTCTCTCCTTTATGATAGGAGATTGGGGGACAGGAGGTAGCAGGTCCAGTCTTGCCTTGGGTACGGTTCTTTGTGGAGGTACTCTTTTCCTCTCTTTTGCAGCATTCATTTCTGAGCACACAGTACCAGTCAGACATCTGATTTTTCACTTCATCTTGCATCTCACCCTTTTGTAGTGAATAGTTCAATCAAAATTGCACCATCTCTTTTGCCATTTATACTCAGCTCTACTCAGTTTTCTTCCAGGGCTTCCAGACTTGGCTCCTTGTCCCACATTTAGTTTAAGAATTGGAAATTCTGAAAACTAGGTTGCTTTTCTTTTTCCTTTTCAGTATCATCTCAGTTGAGAAGCTTGTTTTAAGTGAGGTGATGTCATTAGACTGGTTGGGATGATAGCGCTTAGGCCTTGTGTTTTCTCTCCATCTTGACCCCCGCTCACTGATCATGGAATTCAGCCAGTCCCTGCTCCACAGCAGTGTTTGAATGGGTATTGTAGAACTCAGATCAACAGTAACTTTGAAACAAAGGAAACCTGTTGCTGAGCTTGTAAACTGGCTTTGATTGGCTGTTACTGTTAACTTCGGGCTTGGCTCGGAGAGAACTGTAACTCCCAGATCAATGTGCCCTTAGCCCTCCCCAGCAAGATGGCCTCTGTTCACAAAATACCCTTCTTAGCAGCAGCTGGATGGCTGTTTCTCATATTGACTGTTGCCTGTACTGCAGAACACTAATTACTGTGTTTCTATTACAGTGATGAACATGATGCCATCATTTAAAGAGACTTCAGGGAAGACAGTGTTGGAAGACCATCCTATCACAGCTGTTGTAACTCACTTCTGAAAGAGTTCCTTTCATAAAGGTGGTCAGTCCCTAAACCTGTCCTGGGTGTGAAACTGCAAAATGTTGGGAAGCTCTTTAAACATCCTGATGGTTTTTGCCTTGGCTTTCATAAGAAGAAGAGGAGCTCAGCACTTTGTAGAGACAGTATTTTCTTTTTCCAGTATGTGTAACCAAATTTAAAGAAACACACATACTGGGTAATTTTAAGGTACGCACACAAGTCTCTGAAATAGCTGATTACTAGCACAGTGGATCACATCATTGCAATTCTGAGTTCAGTTATTTCTCACAAACTGTGTAAATCCACTGTGTTCCATAATGGATAGAGTAGGTTAAGTAGGATACCTTTGAGACCAAGCATAGGTTTTTGCAAGCAAAATGGGGGGGTTTTTCCCCCAGTATTTTGTATTAAATTGTATTTATTTTGAAGTTTGATGTGAACTTTAGTTTAGAAATTTGGGATTTTGAACAATTCAGTTATTTTTTTATTAGACTATAAAGAGACATGGTTTGCTAACTGTATAGAAGGTGATAATGAGTACTTTAAACTTCAATCATTATCTCACCAGTGACAGGCAGAGACTTTCCTTAGCAGGCTATACAGTGAGACTAGCTGCAGGAAGTATGGATCCATCCACAACCCTTTTCTCTAAATGGGTCCTTTTAAGAAAACAGACTGTGTGGTCCTTAGCTTCTTTTTTCTAGCATGTCCTAATGAAGCATGTGCAATTGACGATAAAATAAAAATTTTTGAAAGTGATGGTGCCATCATAAATATGATAAAATATGAAAATTGCTTCTAAAAATTGGCTTTTAAGTTGAATGTATCAATTGGTTCACTCTTGATTTTTATTATTATGAAGCCGTATGTGATGTTTTAGCAACATTTGATAAGCATTGAAAGTTACACAGAGAAGTGGAAAACCTGTAAGATAGCATTTTATAAGAATAAAATCTGCATTTTTACAACTATTTTCAGAACTTGGTACTGCTACACACATATATAGAGATGGTCAGAAGCCCAGTGAAGGCAGCAGAGCATCTCTCAGAAGGCCTTTAGATCAAGACTCGAATACAAGCAAAGTGGCTGATGCTGCTTCCATATCAGTTCTGCATTTACACAGAGGTAAACCTGCTGACTTGAGTAGATGGGTTCCTGATTTACACTGGTGTAAGGAAAACCAGAGCAAGGATCAAAAAACACAAGCCTGCATCTCCTTGTGTCACAGAATAATGGTTCAGTCCTACTCAGGCTCCACTTGTAGACCTCTACCTGGTGAAGGGGGTTGGCCCTCCAGGTTACTGGTGGCACTAGTCCATCACACAGGGCCCAGATAGGAGCTGGTGACAGCTGAGGAGGGTCTCAAAGGAACTGCATACAGGTCTGGGATACAGCACAGCAGGGAAAATAAGACTACAGCTCTGGCAAAGGTTAATTTTTTTGTTGAGCAGTAGTTTATTCTGACATGCAATGTTTAAAAGTGGCTGTATGGGGTTTTTTTCCTTTTTTCATGGAGTAGTAAAACCACTGTGACCAAGACACAACCAACTCCAGCAAACCATGGCTAATGAGCAGTCTTAATAGCATCAGTCACACACCTGAAATGGGAGTAGCAAGGTGGTTTTGTTTTCTGCTGAGACTAAGGTACAGGGAGAGAGTGATTTGAAGTAACTTCTGTGATTTTTTTTTTTTCTTAATTTCATTGTTTGGTGGAAAACTTCTGGTTTTGACTTGAAGAGTTTAGAAACAATTCCTCTATAGAACTGCCATTCCTTACTTTGTAGAAATTAAGACAATTAAGTGCAATTCAACTACTAGGATTGTCTTACCTCTGTTGTACAGATGAATAAATAAAATTAAATCTTTGTAGTTACTATATCAATTTTCAGTTGGATTTTTATTTTATTAGGTGGGTTCATAATTCCCCCAATCCTTTCCACAGTCATAACCACTGAATAAGAAGTATTCACTATATATAGTCTTAAATGCTAGAATACCAGACCTAGTGCAGCTCAATCGTTTGTAATGTATTTTGTAATCTCATTACTACAATAAAGCAGAATTATGTGGTGTTAGTGCAAACTCCTGTCAGGTGTTTGGGTACTAGACAAAGTGAGGTGCAGTTGATAAATCTTCATGTTGGAAAGCAAATGTAAAGTTAAAGAAAAGTGGAAACCCAGCTTTCAGTTACACGTGTCAGGTGGGATGAACAGGACAGCTCTCAATGTGTCAGACCACCACTAAGTATGTACTCGGGCCTCGGTCCTGGAGAGGTCACTCTGCAGCACTGGAACAAGCAGTGGACCTGACTTTAGCTGTGCCCTACACATGTAGAGGGGTTCTCTACACATGTAGAAGAGCTGACTGTATTAAATAACTGAAATGGTAATTTAACATTCAAAATTCCTGATTCTGCTAACTAAACACTGGCACTTAGTTCCTGTAAGGCAAAGGAAAGTTTCCCATAGGAGAGTCTACCACAGTTTGAGCAATATGAGGTATAAAGCCAAAATAGGAGCAAAAGACAGGAAAAGGTCTTTTGTCTCATGGCAAAGCAACAGTCTCAAAGCAGCAGTGTAGCACTGTCTCAGGCACCTGGCAACAGCATACAGAATAGATGTGTTGGAAGGGACCTACAATAATCATCAGTCCAACTGCCTGACCACTTCAGGGCTGACCAGAAGTTAAAGCTTGTTATTAAGGGCAGTGTCCAAATGCCTCTTAAACACTGACAGGCATAGGGCATTGACCATCTCTAGGAAGTATGTTTCAGTGTCTGACCACTCTCTCAGTAAATAAATGAGTAAATAAATAAATATAAGCCTTTCCTCGTGGATGCCTCTTGCCACTCACTTCTCTGGTGAAATTCAATTATAAAGTTATGATCTGTTTATATTCATTTTGTGCAATTAATTTTTAGCATAAATAGCTCCTCCCTTTCTCTAGGTATATTTATGCTACAGTCTTTCAGCTGTTCCTTAACTGAGGTTATTAATACTGTAAAGATGATTCAACCATTTACAGTTCATCCTCACACCCGGAGTGTGTAACTGTACTGCAGGCTGAGCAATGCAGTTCATAGCTCTGTCCTGATTAGGAACCCCTCTGGTGACACGCTGCAGAACTGCAGTCACAGTATCATGTTGTCAGCACATCATCAGCCTCAGTCAGTTATTACAGCTCTTTCACACAATCCCCAGTACTATTTTTTTTAAAAAATCCTTAAAACTCACAGTTTTGTGCTCATATTAAAATTTATTTTACTTATTACTACAGGCTTGGGAAGTCATCCGATGGCTCCAGAGCACAGTCACCTTAGGTTGGATACCATAAACATCACTTTTGCCCTTCAGACACATCGAGATGAACCATATAACCAAATCTCAGGACTGCAGCATTCTGCCTTCCTCCCACAGGTCTTCCCTTTTTGTGCAACTCTCCTTTGGCTTGTATTTATTACCAAATCGTAGCCCTTCCAGCTTGTTTTGATAGCACCCTGCATCAAAGGCTTCAAAGCAGTCCAGAAATACTGCAGTGCTATTATTTGGTTTTTTAGTTAAAAAAACATTAAAGCAGGATCATGTTACTGTGATACTGTTCAATAACTTGAACATTATCCCTTCGTAAATCTACTTTCATACCTTTCCTTTTTGTTCAGAGACTGCTTACGTAGTCATGCCGCTCTGGTTTTGCCCTGAAGACACACATAGCATTCTTCACATGCTTTAATGAAAGGGACAGGAGCAAGAAAATGACAGTATTGCCAAAAGCAAAGTGGAACAGAATCAGAGACTGACAATTGCCTAGATAACTCAAGAGGTTAAGACTTTAGCTGAGATATGGAAGCATATCAAATGAAAATGGACCCGTACAGAATGTAAACATATTCTCTAGACAACACTGAAGGAGTCCTGACTGGTGTGTGACAGATAGATAGCACTCTTTAAAAAGTTGGAAAGTTAAATGAATTTAGGAATCTGCATTTGACTGTTCTCACAAACAGCATAGACACGGGGACTGCCAAGTCCTGGTGTTGTCCTGCAGTGTCTAAGCTTTAGCTTGCATTAAAATTTAGTGTTTGCTTCACTATAAAAACCCTGAAGACTGGATCTGTGATGGATTTTATCCTTCAGGTCAAGTAACCCCTATACTTCAAAACATCCAATTTAGTAACACTGCATAAAAGAGACTCTTAAGTTGTAAAAGGACACTTAAGAGCCTCCAGAAGACCAAGAGGAAATACATTCTCACTCTGATACTCAAAATCTTGTGTTTGTCTATTGTTTATTCTGACCTTCTCCACATCAAGTTTAAAGCAGTCTAGAAACCAAGGTGGTGTACCTGCCAGCACTGAGGTGATGGGTACTTCTGAAGTGGTAGAAGAAAAACTACGTAACTCAGTTTCCTTGACAAGGTTCATAAAGAAAAGCAACACGTCTGTACAAATGGGGTGCTTTTGGTTTTTATTGTTGCATATATGATTTAATCTTCTCTAAAGACTTCATTCTCCCCTTAGAACTGAAGCTACCTGCCATTGGGCAAATCACACCTTGAACTGACATCCTATACTGTAGGCACCAAGGATTTCACTTCTCTACCTGCCCAAATAATACAGCATCAGTAAGTTAAACTATATGGATCCAAAAGCAAGAGATCTTTGTTCTGACCAGGTCTACACCCTGTAACACATGAGCTTAGAAACCTTTGGCAAGTTCTCTAGCTTTTCCCTGAAAAAAATTTCACCAAGCCAAAACTAAATATGAAGGCCACTGCTAGAACATTCCTTATTGTGCAAGGAATTTCCTGCTGTGCTCCAGCATATTTTGATCTCTTCAGATACAAAAAAATAACTCACCTGTTTATTTTTTCTTTTAAATAGCACAGCAGGATGTGCTGTGTGGAGTTCTGCTCTTCCTCACACAGGATGCATGCAAA